CACCACTCATCAACTACTCATTATACTTGACCAAAAAACACGCAGGGGAACAACAAGCTGACCCTACTGCACAAGAGATTTGTCACCCCACCAATGATCAAATCAACTTCTCAATCGATCGACAAGGAATCGGTCGACTGAATACCTGATCATCAAAAGATGTCTAATCACGAAATCAAATACTAATCTATACAGGACGGATAGAGAGATCATTTTCTTCAATCACCCAATTAATCGACCACCTTTCGTTGGAAGACTTGAGTACTTATGTCGGATCTGTACACAATAAACCCCTAACCACGATGGTATGTCGTCCATCAAACCATTAATAATAAACCCTCAATGGGGGGGGGGTTGTGGCAACTACTCAACTTCAAATCGGTCAACTAAAATACTTGACCACTACATTCCTCAAAGGATGTACTCCAAGTAACTGGTCACTGAATCACATACTAATCTAATCAGAACCAATCACCCAATCGATAGTCTTTCGGATAGATGATTCGAATACTTATGAAATACATCGTATCTGGGACACATCAGTATGCAACAAGCTCCTAAACCGACGACCATTAATCACTATAATATCTCTATACTCAACAACCCAATCTCGGCATTATCATCGATCGACTTACTGCGCACCTCATTACTTAATAATCAGCATATTCAATAGTCCATTGACCACCTGGGGTTCTGATATACAAAACCATCTTGCAAGACCCATGAACCAAGGAACTGTTATCTACTTGATCGTTCGACACCTGACAACTTCTGATGATCAATAAATTATCTACTTTATAGATCGACTTCAATCGGTCGACTGGGTAGCTGATTAATCGAATCATTAGCAAGTCATTGACCACATACGATTCTGTTAAAACCACGGACTAGCGATTGAATCGATAAACATTATATAGGTCGACTGTACTTGGGGGGGAAGGGGGAGGGAGAAATCGATAATGCGGTCGGTGATCCAAAAAAAAAAAAAAAAAAAAAAAAAAAAAAAAAACGAGAGATGATCAAGCAAAAATCAACTACTCAATGCTTAGAATCAGTCGACCAGGTACCTGATTGCCCGGAATATCAACTTAAGCAAACAACCACCAACCACTAAAGGCGTACACCCTCTAGATTAATACTGCAAGACTCACTCATCAGGATTGCCCATCTTCCCAACCGATCAAACCGATCGATCAATTTCACCTACATATATCAAGGTTTCTCCTACTTAACCCTGTCAATAATCTACCAATTACTAATCTTCTTGATGATCAAACCGCTATTTACACATCCATCCGGTCATCATTTCCTTACAAACTATCATCAGTCACGTCACCATCCACACAATGAAGATATCTCTTGAAACAATAACACTACCCAACTGGCTAACCTCGTCTAACTAGTCCAACTACCTTTCTATGGTCAAGAGTTTTTTCCTACATACCTACCCCACCGCAACTCCCTACCCCATCAGCACGCGGGAAAATCAAGTATTCTTATTACACAATTTGAAGAAGAAAAAAAAAAAAAAGGAGAACAGTACACAATAAGCAAATTCACTAATTTAATTTATGTAAAAAAAAAAAAAAAAAAAAGGAGAATAGGGGGAGAAAACATTACTCACGCAGCCACATCGGCCTAGGATCACCCTCATTTTCGGAAATCCACGCATCAAGAAAGGGAAAAGCTAGTGAACAAAACCTTTTATCACAACCAATGGAATTGGAACATCTCCTTAACTCCAATCTGCCTGAAAAGCATAACCAGGCCATCATCTTTAGAATCTAATCACCAAACATATTTATCCGCAGGATAAACCAACTACCTAATCTTGTCTCAAAACGTAGAAAGAGAGAAGCATAGGCAACCTTGAACATTGATGGATTCTTGAAGATTATGCCTCCCTTATTCCATTTCCACAAGATTTACCTATATACACTTAAGAACAGATCTCCTTCCAGCCTACCATGTACCACCTCTCTATGCACATTCTCAGTTAAAAAAAAAAAAAAAAATAATAAAAAAAAAAATAAAAAAAATAAATAAATAAATAAAAATCTTCTTTTGAGATAAAAGCAAGACCAAAATTATATTGTATCTCAATCAATTACATAAGTACCAATCCAACGAAATTCTCACAACTTTTATTGGTTGTTATGTTTGCAGGGTATGGATCAATTCCTTAGGAACTTTCTTCACCACACCATCTCCTTCCCCTTCAGAATGTTGTCCGCATTCCCACTCAACATTTTTTCCTTTTTATTATTCCCCACCTTCACAATGTTCTCTTGTTCTTTTTTTTTTTTTTTTCTTTTCTTCGCACCTCCTATCATTTTTTGCGCATTCCTTTTTTATACAATGCTAAATAAATCAAATATTCTCTCTCATCTCGACAATTAAAAAAAAAAAAAAAAAAAGGGAGCGGAAGGGGAGAAAACAAAAGACTTCAACGATAATAATCAAAGGCAACTACAAAGCGAGGGTAAAGATTGGCAGAGAAGGAAAGGGGAGGAAGGGGGAGGAGTGGACGGTAAAGAGAAAGTAGAAAGGATGGCGATATGATCTCGTTCAATAAGCAAATAAAGCACCTCGTTCAAAATCTAACCAATCACACGACCCAAGGGAAATTTATTTCTCAATTATGACACATATCCAGTTGGTCTCTATTTCAGACTAATGGCAAACAACATTAAATCAACCCATTCAACGTCAATCAATAACGATCATAAGATGACTGAGCAACAATGCCTTCCTCAAGAAAAAAAAATAATAAAAAAAAAATTACATATATAATAAAAAGGACTAACAATAAGTAGAACTAAGTCAATCACACTCGGTCTAATTTCATGTCAATGTCTGTGCAGATGGATCCATGGCTCAATATTTTTTTTGTTGCATCTGACTCCTAATCAGTAATAGGACCAGAAATCTTTGTTGTCCTTCTCATACTTCCACCAGTTTACACATCTGCAAAGATTATCGATTGTCTCAACCTTCTCTCCCAAAATATGAACAAATTACTTTTTAATGTCCAAACTCACAATCCAGAGAAAGTCCACAAAGTACATGCCCATGCTATAAAGTTAAAAAATTTACTACCCCCACCACCATCTCAGTCTCCACCCCCAAACACACCTCTCTCTCCAACTTTCTTAGCACCACCCTCTGAACCCCCTCCAATTTCAAACACCCCATCATCATCCTCATCTTTGATTCACCAAGCTACTCTCGAGGCCTTCAAACAACTCAAGCAGCAAATGGTCACCCAACTTGAAGAAAGTCGGCTCTCCATCGAGCAGCTAAAGAATCAGCTTATCAAGAAGCAAGAAGATATTTCCAACCTGAACCAGCTCTACCAGAGCTTGCAGTCAGAGATGAATGGAATCCAGCAGAAGCTCAATGGCAGCTTACGAGGAACTGGCAGCATGGAAGACAACTTTCTCTGCCCCATGCTACTACTCCCAGGTTGATGCCTACATTCGTTTTCTCGAGATCAACACGAACTACTCCTACTTCCGCATTGGCAAAACTTTTGCCGCAGACTTCAGTTCAAGGGTGACATCAGTGGCTAAGGACTGCATCGAACCTCTCATTACCAAGCCCGTCAAGCAATTACTAGACAAGGCCATCAGGAAGGGCATGAAAAAAGTTGTACTAATCATCAAGTCGGAGTATAACTACTGCATGAGCCTCGTCAGACGAGATGCTCACAGGTAAGCAAGGGTTGTCCCCCGATTATATATCCATCGCCCCCGGACTGCCAATAGGTCCACACCGTCTACGTTGAGGGGCTTATCTTTATAATCCTGTTTATCTTGCAGATTGGGCATCCAGGAGTTAGAGTACTCTTCATATCGGAAGAAGGATGAGCACTACAAAACCGAAAATGACAAAAGATCATCATCTAAGCGCCACTACGAAGACGACAAGGGAAGAGGTTACGGCTACTACAGAACAGCCAAAAGATCTCACTCTGATTACGACCTCAAGCACGCGGACCAATCACGCCCTGCAACTGCTGACTCCACCAGAACCTCTCAATAGCCACCCACCTTTTTCTATACCATCCATGCACACCATCCTCTCCAATCTACAAACTCCTCCCTCACTTTTGGATCTCCGCCTCGCTACCTTCGCTCTTCAAAAACACTCATCCTGGTTGAGAAATCTTGATGAATTCTTCGCCGCCTCACCATCCAACCATTTTTCGAATTGATCTCTTCTACTCTCATAATCTTCTAGAAGATATTCTCACTCAGTACTTCAATGGATCCGCCACGGTGTTAGACTTCAGTTCAATGACACCTCTCACGTTCCAACATCAAAGATCATAGAAGTCAGAAGAATGGTAAAATCAGTTCTCCCCGCTTCTCGTTTTAAACAAACTCTCAAATTGAACCCCCTCCCCCCTTATCATACCTAACCATATCAACCCCCACCACCATACCAATTTCATCTCTTCCACAGTATCTCAACTTCTTTCCTCACGAGTCATTGAACCCTCATACCACCCCGTAATCAACCCCGTCTTCGCAACGGAAAACCCGTCTAAAACCCGTTTTATACTCGACGTTCGTTTCGTCAACCTGTTCTCCACCTTCCCTCCCTTTCATTATGAATAAATAGATGATGCTATTGCTCACCTGTCTGGCTCACCAACTCAGGACTTTCTCACGTGTTTTGACATTAAGAATTATTATTACCACATTCCAGTTCATCTTATCTCGAGGTCTTATCTGGCTTTTCATTGGAACGGAATAAACTATCAATTCACAACACTTTGTTTTGGAATCTCCTCTGCTTGTAGGATCTTCACAACAGTTATGCAGGAAATCATGGTTGAACTGCGTATTCGTAACGTTTTTGCCACATCTTACATTGATGATTTTGCGCTCGCCAACAAGAAGCTACCCCTACTTCTGTGACAATCTTTTAACTACGTAGCTCTGCTCCACAACCGTGACCTTTTTTTTTAGTACCCACAAATGCTATTTCCTCCCATCTCAGTCAATTCGTTTCCTCGGATTCCCCCTAAACTCCCATTTCAAAAGAATAAGAGTTCCCGAAGATAAAATACAAAAGATCCTCAGCCTTATCCAATCCTCTTTCAAACCCTCTAGTAGAACAGTCGCCAAACTGGCAGGAAAACTCGCCTCCCTCTCCAAGGCGTTCTTACCTACTCACCTCTATCTCTCATCACTCTATGAAGCCATCTCACCTTCCAATTGAGGTTCCCCTATCAAAATCTCAGATAACCTTATCTCTGACCTCTTGTGGTGGATCTTTCACTTACCTCAACTCCCGAGAAGACTTTCGATCGTCCAACCTGTCTCCTTATCCATTTTTCCTGATGCTTCAGCAACCCAAATTGCGGCATTGATTTACCCTCTCAACAATGAAGAGATCGCATTCAACCAATGCTTACCCCAATCTTTGCTCAACTCATCCTCCACTCACAGAGATTTTTTCGCCATCCTTGAAACCTTCCGATTTCTCGCTTCTACTCAACCACGCCTTCTTTTCTCAGCCTCAATCAGACTACACTCTGACAGTCAGGCTGCCACAACTCTACTCCTATCAATGAAGTTAACCGACGAAATTTTCAATCCATGGTTACGAGACATCGCCTCCATCCCACTCCTTTCTGATTCTCTCCTCGGTCCTGTTTGGATACCTAGAACACTGAATACAATGACTGACTCTATGTCCAAAATCAAGGATAATACAGATTGGGACTTGGCAGGCCACGTAAGGGTTGACATATTTTCTCAGATAGGTGTACTAGCAATCGACCTTTTTGCATCTGACTATCACCATGTCTGCCCAACCTTTGTCTCCAGAAACTGGTCAACAAAAGTCTTCCAAGTAGACGCTCTCTCTTTGAATTGGAATTTACTTCCATCACTTCCCTACCGCTGGATTTTTCCACCCACAACACTCCTCCACCACACCCTCTTCAAAGCACTCGCCAGCTCAACCTCCTACCTACTTATATTACCTTCTTCCAAACGCACCACCCGGTACCCCCGCACTCTCTCACTCAACATCACGCACTGCTTCACCATCCCTTAATCCTCATTCTCCTGCTTCCGCAGCCCCAGAGTCGACGTCACCACCCCCAACCCCGCAATCCTCGGCCTCACAACAATTTTTTTCACCGCCTAAACCCCCCTCACTCCTCCTCTTCCATCCACGCCCCATCCCGTATTCGTACCTCATAAACGTTCCAATACTACTCTATGTTCCCTGTCGCATCATTTCTCCCAGACTCCTACCCTCCTCTATCCCTGCCTGAACTTCCCCAATCCGGAAGTTGTGACCACTCTCCCCTTCATAAACTCTCGCCTCCTCAAACCATTTCTCTATGCGCTTGTTAAAACTGCCACCACTTACTGGACCATTACAACGCATTGACTGAAACAAGTAACCTCTCCTCACATCCTGCCCCAACCTATCGTAACTATTCACCAACTCTAAAAGCCAACCCAAAAAAGTTTCCTCTCTCACTTCGGGATCATGCAACCTTATCATGAACCTCCCACCATGACGGTCAGTTTTAGTGTACCCTGGCCACACAACCCTCTCACCGACGTCTATCTCTTTGTACTTCAATCTCAATCCTTCTCCACAACGCTGCCAACTCTCTCATAAGTAAAGAAAAGCCCCCCCATCTTGATAAGCCTGAGCCTCCACATACCCCTTCAATATCCGCAACTTCCCTCTAATATGCTCCAATACCTTCTTCAATTTCTCCCATCTCAAATGTCGCGCAGACTCTTCAACAACACCTCTTTGCAAGGAATACTCTCGATATGCTCTACGAAAAGCTCGCACCCTGCTACTCTGGCAAGGATCTTCTTCCCCATCTCTCCCGAGCTGATGAAAACGAGCACTCAAGCAATTCATAACCGCATCTATTGTGGACGGAGATACAAGCGGGAGGCCTTCAGCATCGGATGTTCGACACCAACTCTCTACCTCAACAAGCCACTGGTTGCTAACGAAGGAACCCACATTCAAATCAACACAGGTTATACAATCCATTCCAACCCCGTTACGCTCCAACCACTCATTTAACGCAAGAAGAAGTTTCTTCATTCCACCTCTCCATCGCCGACCAGCCCCATATTCGCGAATCAAGGCGCTACTCCACTCAAGACCAGCTTCGTATCCACCTGCGAACTCCGGAGTGCTACGCTTCTGTCTCCAGCCGCCATCGCTCACTCGTTCGTTCCACCATTCTCTGCAAGACGACGATGTCACTTGCGGGACGATGGAGGGAGTTGGGCGGTCCTAGGAGGTGTGCGGGCCTGCGGCCCATTTCCTTGACTCACTTCTGAGCGATTTGGCATTATCAATGGATTTTCATTTTCCTATTTTATCTGGAAGAGACCTACACAACATTAAGCATGCAACTCCACACATGGTTGCATGCAAGGTTGACGGGACAGATCCAACAAATCCAACATCCTCGGCTCACATCATCAACCACTAACAATTTACGGTTGGGAATTGGTACCGGAACATCAGCATTTGGGACCTCGTGTACAAACCACAGATGTACCTCATCCAAGGTCGACAGGATGCCTCACAATGTAGTTTTCTAAGATCAACGGCGGTCAACTTTCGATCCACTATCTACGGTTCTACTGAGTTGAAAGCAACACTCACTCTGGCTGAAGTACGGCCTCAATGGTCCGTCCGCTCCCACTGCCTTGACCTGCGACTGTATAAGTAACAGGTGCCTGACCAACTACGATAGCTTGCGTACTCTCCCGAGCTGCGTCTTCCAGGCCCCAACCGCTCGCAACGTTCATCGCAAACGCAAACCTGCGCGCATGCCACACAAAGGGGTCAGATATTTCAGAGGTCGAGTCCTTTTTCTCGTCTTGATTTGGTGAAGCGGTCCCGCCCGCCCTCGAATTTCCCGCGGTGTGCCGGCCTGCGGCCCATTTCCTTGACTCACTTCTGAGCGATTTGGCATTATCGATGGACTTTCATTTTCCTATTTTATCTGGAAGAGACCTACACAGGGTTAGTGAACCATGTTTTTTCTCATAGACCTTAGTTGGTAGTGTGATATCTTTTTTTTTTAAGAATTGATATTTTTTTTCGAAACCTGGTTGTGTTCTTATTTTGTTGAAGTGGACGTAACTCTTGTAGACGACTGTGGTTTGTTATAGGGCTTTGATGACTAGTAATACGCAATGTGCTGTAATCTCGTCGCACTTTTGACGACCGACCAAGACCCCTGAAGAAGGCTGGTTGGCGGGCCAGCCGAAACATGCGGGGTCCACGCAGCTGTTTTTCATTGATATATTTTAATATTACATCGCGAGCGGGTTTTCATCCACTTGCGTCTACACTTGCTCTTCCTGCTGTCTCAGTATTATCCTTCTTGGTGGTCGTTGCTATGTTGTCCTGATGTGTGTTGGTTGGATGAATGATCATTTTGAAGTCAGTTTGCCGATTCGTCAACTGTTGCCATAGACGATAACGTCGCCTGTTCCGCAACCTCCAACTGATTTTTTTTTTTTTTTTTTTGGTTAAAACCACCAGTACCTCCGAGCCTGTTTTTACCGACCTTGATTTTCACTGCGCTCCGAGTTTTGTCGAGCCTGCGTCCCAGTCCATTTCTTTATCTCTCACGGGAAGAACAAAAAAAAAAAAAAAAAAAAAAAAAAAAAAAAAAAAA